TAATCTGTTTGACTATTTTTCCAACCAGTGTTCGATACACTACATCCGTCATTGAACCAGCCACGCACAGAGCCATCTACGGCGGCAGGACAAATTAAACCTCTTTCATGAATAAAGAAATCAGACATAAGTAGTTATAACATTCCGCGAGGGAATCACCGCGACAGGATGTCGCATAAAAAATTAGTAACTATATTAACGCCACATACCTAAATAGTTAAAACAATCTCACAATTACTATTCAGAACAAGATATTCACTAGTATACCGAACTCAAAAATGCAAAGTCTCAGTATTCAGGCATCCTGTAAAGTCGAGATTACTGGACTTAGAGTTACAACAAACTTAGAATCATACATCACAATGTACGATCACACTGCCATTACATTATCAAGGTTCTCATATGTTCTTCATAAGTAAGATCAGGGTTTTGGTTGGATAGGACCGGTTTTAACCAGTTCCATTTCAGATTATTTTCACAGTTCAACACCTCTGCGAGGTATTTGGTCCTGGTTTATTTCAGCCATTTTTTTCCACTTGGCTCCGGCCCTGGAATATGGACTTTTCATTTTGAGCTGGTTATTTTTTATAGTGGTGAATTATCTTGTTCTGAAGCTAATCTCGTGGAAGTTGGTTTAACTATTTAGTATGTGCCCGATTATATTAGAATTACTAATTCGTTTTATCGACAGTCCCTGTTAGGTATTCTATGTGACTTACTCACACTAGGGGGCACAATTTCGTTCACCTTTCGGGTCAATATTCTCTTTAGCGTGATTGATCGCTCTAATCTTATGGTTTTGTGTCTGCGGATCTTTCCTTATCTCATTGAACGAGAGTTTTAATTTGATCTCGCCGCGCATAGACTGGCTCCTGTGGTGGGTTCAGAGGGGCACTGATATGTATGAACACGGTTGAACCAATAGTAAAGCAGATTGAAGTTGGACAAAACCCGCTGTATTTCGTGCATAAACTAACAATATTAATTCTTCAACGTTGGGGAGTGTGTGACTGCCCCCTTCATCGCTAACCGAGGTTTTCAAACCATCAACTCGCCATTTTAGTCATATTACATTGAGGTAAAGAACATATAATTGATCTTCATGGTCAAGTTTTTTTCGCGCTTTTGACCAGGGATAATGAATTAATCCCAAGTTGTAAGTTCCTTTACAAGAATGCCAGAAAGCAACCGACAGGAACGAAGCATTTCGCACAGGCATTCGACTCATTTTTTCACCAGTATAGATCACTACGCTTTACAGGTAACAATAGTAGATGTACTCGCCCTCTGCCAATCTATAACATCAAACATATATATCACGGACCTGAGTAAGTGATATACGGACAACGTACTAAGAAAATGAAGAGTGCACTCGATAGTTTTAATCTATAACGTGTACCTACAGCGTTGTGCGTGGTTTTTTTTATTTTTCATTATTGATTGCTCGTAAAGTTGGACAAAAACGTGTATTCGTCATGACTACAATCTAATTCTTCAACGTGGTGAACCCGTAACAGTGCCAATCTTTCCTAAAGAAATAAATTTCTTTATCAAGTTTTTCGTTTACCAAAATGAAAACCCGAGCATCAAGAATGCCCCAGAAAGCAACGACAGGAACAACATTTCGCACAGCATCACTCATTTATTTCACAGTATAGATCACTAAGCTTTACGGTAACAATAGTAGATGTCTGCTCTGCAATCTATAACATCAAACATATATATCACGACTAGTAGTGATATACGGAATCATGCAAGAAAATTAGAGATGCACTCGATAGTTTAATCTTAACTGTACCTACGCGTGCGTGTTTTTTTAATTTTCATTATTGTTGCTCGTAGGCCCTATGTGTGTGTGCATATTGTTACGTATCTGACTATTTCCAACCATGTGTATTTGACTTACAACCGAATATATATATTTTTCGAAAAGGAAAACACATTTCGTTCAACGTCTTAAAACATTTTTGCAGTAAATGAGAAAATTCCAAAATAACACGATGAGTTAACTTTACACAGGCATTTCAAGACTTTGCCAAGTTTGTTTAATGATTTACCTGCACTGTCTTCAAAATTATAATAGAACAGCTAAACATTCCAAAGTTTAGTTGAGATATCGGTCAATGTAGATGACAATAAAGTACGATAAGTTGTATATAGAAAGATAAGCAAGATATTTCATGAGGAATAATAATGACAATATGTAGAGAGTGCATGCCTCCAGTCGTTGTATTTTATCGCTCTGATAAACATTTAGTAATTTCACGTGCTTCTACTGGCTTTCTCGTTGTGAGTTAGATAAACGTGAGAAGAACCAGCCCAATAGTGACTAGTCTAGTTTAAAAAAACACATCTTAGTCTATGTGAATGGCAACATAGTCAACACACGAGGAAAGCATGAAGGCTACACGTTTACCATAGCTAGCATACATATCAAAATGAACTAATAATTCTAAATTAGATTGTGTTCTTCTCGGTAGTAATAACTAGCTAGCCTAATTTCAGGTTTCTATCCTGACTGGACTTTGTGTGTAGCAGCTGCATAAATTACCCCCCAGCCAACCTCATTAAACAGATGCCGAATGTCTCTATCCCTACATGACGTTAATCTGTATGGATATATGTGTATTGATATATACACATATATATCGTATAGTAAACTAATACAATTAATAAAACTTCGTGTCCGTTTTCAGTTTGCATATACGTAAGCAGGAGTTGTTTTTTAATACCGTTGTCTGTTCCATGATCAAAACTTTTTTAAATATTCAGGATCTTTATAGATCTTTTTTAACATTTGTTTTCCTTTCTCTAATATGTCTTGATAGGAAACTGCTTCCGGTTTCAGATGCCTGCTGTAGGGTCCAGAAAACTCGTAGTCTCTCGTCGGCTTAACTCACTTAATGTTTCTAATAACCGTTCTGACGTTCTCTTTAATTAGGCAAGGTGAAGCGCATATTGTTGGCCATTGGATGTTGTCTAGGCTGATGAATCGCAGGAACACGCTGTGATCTTAGGATCTCCGACATTGCCGGCATCACTCCTGTTTAGCGCAGTGGCGGCTAGGTCAGACAAATCTGAAGGAATCGGTCTGGATGCCAATAACAGGATAGGTGTATAACTTGTTGAAGCAGTAAAAACTTCCGACAGTGAATCGATGGACACAAAGGTTGTAGGAAATTTATCAGCGTGAGAATAAGATGCAATAATTGTTGGTCGGCGTCTGGTAAGTGACAGATACCGACGACCTGTATTCATGCGATGAACTGTTCCAATTTCTCATTTCAAGTGGTTTTAATG